TATATTTATAGCATGTTCATGTTTCGCCTATAAGTGTTAGGTATTTTTCCGGCAATATCTGGGTAATTGTTAAAAATAAGTAATCAGGTGCGGATTTACGGGGGGATATATGGGGAATAGACGCCCCCTTTCGGGTTAAAAAGTGAAAACTAAAAAAATAATCCCCCTTACAACCCAATCCTGGATTTCTGGTTTAATTAGTTCTAAATATTTAATATATATTTAATATTAGGTTTGTTTTAAATTTAGCATTGTAAATATTAAACCAAAAAATAACTAAAAATCATAAAAATAAATGTCAGAAAACATATTTAGTAATAATGCACTCCCAATTGGTTCTGCAAAAGGAAGTTTAAAACATAAGGAGGGTATTTACTGCTAGAAAACATTATTTCAGGCTGAGGCGATTTTCAGCTAATAAAAAAGGTAAATATAAATTGGGAAAATGTTCTACCCCATAAGAAAACGCTCTCGGAACAGCTGAAACGTTTCCATTACTTTGGCACATCCACATGCCAACCCCCATTTCATCTGCGTCATCGGAATTAATTCACAGCCGCGCAGCAACACACTCATTTAATAACCGAGAACTGCACTTCTTTCTGAATGAAACCTCAGCGCTGAACTTTCCGCAGTGTCGATGTCAGCAAAGTTAATTGATCAAGCCCCCGACGAGGAACACACATGCAAAAACACAAACACCGGGCCCAAAAACGCTGAGATCGGGCTTTGGCAGTGAGGCCAGTAAAAAATCCAAAAAATAATTCAAAGTGGCAATCTGAACGAGAAACGGAAATTGACTATGCGTTATGCGACCTACCCAAGAAGTATAAATATAGTTGGGGTAATCAAATTAATTCAATTAAGGTGTACATTTATCGAATTGATAAGGGTTTATTGGGTAGATCTTATAGAGAACTTGAAACATTTGCCCCGCTTTTCTGCAATTTTCAATTAATCAAGCTGATATAATCGGCCGGGTTAAGGAAATTAAATTTATCTGCTTATGCATTCATATTTGCCGCGATATTATTATATTCAATTTGGTAACAGGGGGAGGTGGGGGCGCCGGCTTATCGCTGTCAAAGAAAGCCGCTGTTCAGCGCCAGACGGCGTCCAAAGTGCAGAAAGTTACGGATTTGTGGTTCTAACTCTGCTCGAAAAGTGACAGAAACTCTCGCCAGCTGGAAATTAATTGCCGACCGTATGGACATGACACCGGAGATCACGAGACCGAATAAAATCGAACTATTAATCGGCGCACAAGAGTGACAAACATCTATTAGGCGTTTAATTAAAAGTTTCGCATGGTCGGAGGCGGACGGCTTTTGTTCCATCGATAGCGACCACGGAGGCTCCACTCCTGTTGTCCGATGGCCGATGTCCGATACTCGGACAGAGTGTCAAATTCGAGCATTTCAAGTTACCGCTTCAGATAGCGGCGAAGAGCAAACACAAATATTTGCCTACAATTACTTACTGCCCGGATAGATACGGATAGATAGTCCGTGGTCAGTTGGCCGGATGAGACAATGGCAGTGGTCTCGGCCGTGGAGTTCTGTGTGTCCATGTGTAGGTACATAATTGGGCTATCAGCTCGATGGCCGCCGGCAGAGGCGCTCGGAATAAATACGGCAATTAAAATTCCGATGGACAGATAGGCCCTCCGATCGAGCATGAAGTGGCTATGGCGACAGCCCGCCGATCAAACCTTCCATCCACCCACTGGCATATCCCCCAGCTATGCGTTCTTGGGTTAGAATACACTCAAAAATGTATGTATCATACATAAATACCAACATTGCCTTCTTTATTATAAGACTCATGACAAAAAACAATAAAATAGTAGTAGTTTGATATGACATAGATATATTAGGTATGAAGAAACTTATAAATTGCTAAGTACACTTAGGCGTTTTTTTATGTTTTTGTAGACTGATCTAAAGAGCCCGTTGATTTCTTTTTTATATTTTCCTTACTTATTTGATAGATTCTTAAGTATAATGTAGTACTAATGTATTTCAACGCTTAAATGTATTTTAATATGACTTATTTCAAAAGTTTCATTTTATTCAACTAATCTAAATTTCAAACTTTGGTAATTTAACTTTCGAAAGGTCTTTTTAATTAAAATAATATTTCTTAACAACTTAAAATGTTTTTCCCCATATTTAAAGAACAGATTGTAACCAATACACCCATTCTACTGTATTATATTACTTAAGAGGTGCCGAGATACATCGTCCTTACTATCAAGTAAAATTGATTATATGAAGGGGATATGGCCCGACTCCTATTTTTTAACGGAAGGCTGACCAGGCTTTCAGCCACCGAATCAACGCTAATTAGTGTTGAAGGATAGACGTTCCATCGCTCCTTCGCCCATCCCCAAGGCCTTCCCGAAATTGCAACACCTGTCCGATGGTCGAGCGGTCACCTGGCGGCGATGCGGAAAGTCAGTGACTATGTAATACACTGTGTTTTGGTCAGCCTAACCGCACGGACTACACTCATCCGATTAAACTTTTAAATAGATGTCAAACAAACTACATTCTGCTAACTACAAGGACTTTCGGTGTCATCGTCCAGGTTCGCTCCACGTCGATGTCTTAGGCCTGCCAGCAGATACGTGTCCGTGTGTCCGCATGTCCGTATATCTATATCCATATCCCCGGACGTCGGCGGGTGTGTCCAGTGTCCTTGTGTGTTATCCTGAGTCCGAGCGAGTGTTTTCCATTCAACCACCGTTGCTGCCGGTCGCTCGGGGTCGTGACGAACAAATGTCCGAAATTTGAAACTTTAAATAGCAGTCCTTGAAGCATGTTTTTGGGGGGAGCTGCGGAATGAGGAGGTGTTGCAAGGTGGGAGGTCAGGGGTCAGAGGTGTCCATTCCGTTGCTCGTGTCCCCCGGCTGGGCGGAGATCTGATGATCTGGGCTTCGAAATTAGTTCTGATTTACCACTGTTCCAACAGAATGTCAGGCGGTGTGACAAGGATTGGCTTTTCGGGCACATGTCGCAGTTTGTGTGCGTATCGTGTAAACATTGCCGAGGACCACACCTGCTGGAACACGTGTACATAATTATACGTGCAGGAAAGTTCATACAGCCCATTAACTAAGTTTCAAAATTTGGGATTATAATTTCAATATGGTGATTATGCCAAGGAAGCGTTAGAGAGCTTGGAACCAGTCATGGCACATCAGATCACTTAAATAAATAAATCCAAAGAAACTTAACATGAAAAAATAATTTTTAGTTTTATGTTTCTTAAATTATTTTCCTATAACTCGTGTATTTTGTAAATTAAAAAATATTGTTGTACTATTTACGTTGAATCCCATTTTATTTCTCTTTGATTTCCAATTGACAAAGCACATTATTCTAAAAGTAAAAAAGTCCGCCGAGCAAGCTGTCGTTCACAATATTCACAACAAATTTATCTTCCCTACTGGAATATCAATACATTTGGATAAGACTGCCCTCTTTAGTGACAGCTCCTCTTAATAAAAATGAATTATCCAACATCCAACGGCGCGACACAAACAATTTGTATCGCTTTGAAATGAAACAATTAGATTCTAATTTTAGAGTGTGCTTCGAACAAGTCAATTTTGTCTTCCGAAATATTTTGGGGCGTAAGAAATAGATGTGTGTTGGCTGAAAAATAAATTAGTTGATTTAAAGCATGGATTCATCCCTTATTACGAGGTACGTTACTCAAAGTTCTAATATGAAAATGATTTCAGCCAACACTTATTGCTTAAAATAATTGGGATCGTTTAAGATTAAAGTTACTGAAATGTTTGATTCCTATTTTGTAAGTTACAAAAGATATAAAGATAATCCAAATTATCAATAGTATATTAAAATGTAAGATGGTTTTCTTATAAACTTGACGTTACCTTGCTATCACTTTCGTTTCCTAACGTTTGTTCTTACAATATTATTATAATTTTAACAATTCTAAAGTTCCATTCAAACTATGTTTAAATTTAATTTAATTCATATTAAAGTGATGGCTTAGAAAATCACCACTATTTTAATAATGTCGCAAGAATAATTTTTAGAATATAATTTAACAACAACTAAGTTAAAAAAGTCCAAAATCAGTTTAAAACACTTGTCGAACAATCGCAAAATAAAGTCATAGCACACAGTCTCATTACTATGTGTGTATGTGCTATGTAAAATTAATTAAGTCCATATTTAAAGGTTACAAAAAACATTTTTCAAGCCTCTTTTCTTTTTAGAAAATAGTTTACAATAATGTGTATGTTTTTCAATAACTGACAGCACAGGTTATTTATAAAGTTAATGGCTTTCTGTGAGTTTATCATTACGCTATGAAAAGTGCAAAATCAGTCGAAAACACTTGGCGAACAGTGAGTTAAATAAAGCCAAACACATTTCATTTGACGGATTCGTTTCGCTTGACAATTCGAAATATCGCCGCTTTGGGCTCATAAATCTGCGACGTAAAGTGACACATATCGCAGATCAATATTATCGTTGGGCTTTGAGCACTTAACCCCCGGTTACGTGCACACACATTTACATGTGTTTCGAGCGATTTCGAGTGTATACAAATGTCTCTTTCTGTTACGACTCGGGTCTAATACACTCCCAGGATCCATTAGAAGTGCAAAACACCAATTAAAGTTTTGCACGGATTACCAGAGGAGTAAAAAAAGGAACAGTAAACCAGTATCGAGGTATTACTACTCTATGTGTTTGTATTCGTTAAGGGGAACGAAAGAGCGGGTGCGAGCGAGACAGCTGCCACCCTACAGCCATCTCGCTCGCTCTCGTGCTGCGCAGGCCGCAGATAAATGCGCAGCCATTTTTTAACGGGCGGAGCCAAAATAACGGAAGCGCTTGGGACATTTACGGTGGGGGGAAATACTGGGAAATTTTGGGTAGTCAGGAAATTTTCTGCTGATTAGCCAGCTGTGCAGAGGCATTGGGAGTTTTCCGTGAAAAGTCGAAGAGACTGCGCGCTTTTCGAGGCGGTTTTCCCGACCGAATGCAATTGGAAAAGTCGAACTATCGGGACCGTGCTTACACAAAAGCTCCAGCGGTCCCCGAAAAAGCTCGGGAATGAACTTTCGATGCAACTTCAAGCTGCACCTACATGCTCGTCCAAAATGGCGGCGCTGTCGGCGGAATGCCGATAAATCAAAGTTCCCCATTTGAAAATGCCAAGAGCCCACCGCGACATGGTACAGCTGCGGCCATGATATTAGTGGTAGGATCTCAAAGGTAATTTAAGGCAGTTACAAATATAAATTTTAAAGCAAATGAATCATAGATTGTTGCATTTATAAAAATTTAATAAACTAAAATATTTTGATTTTATTTATTTTGTTGTTCAGAATTTAATACAAGAACTTATTTAAATTACCCTGTATTTTTTTCATTGTTTATAAATTGGAAAATAATTTCCCCCTGACCAAATCATTATAAATATTTGTAACAATCGCTTATTTTAATAGAATTTGTAACACAACGCCTGTTTAAATACACTTTAATACAGAAATGCCTCCTTTATGTTTTTTTTTCTTAATTATAATTTTAAAGTATTGGTTTTTAATCTTAATCTGTTTCTAAAGTATCTGCAACTATTTCCATCTTGCCGAAACTGTACGGCCTTTCGCGGCATCAAGTGGCTGGTGACTGGTGACTGGGGAGCGGCATTTCATCAGAGGGAATTAATCAGAGCAGATGAAGCGACAACCGAAAAATAACGACGCGGCATCTCCCAAAGAGCCCGCCGCGCTTATCTCCTCAATCTGAATCGCCGCAGCCGGCTTTTTAGTGCGTGTCCACCGTTCTCGGGGCCTGGGATCCCGAGTCCAGCATCCAGATGCATCCCATTTACAGAGTATCTGTATCTGTATCCGTATCCGAAGGTGTGTGTTGCCAGAGACTGGCGCTTGGAGGCGACAGCAGCGGAATGTCACCGCGGCAAGTATCCAGAGGGGATCCCAGAGACCCTCTTCTCACAGTTTCAGTTTTTTTAGTGGCCGTTCCTATCCCAGGGCATCCATCAAACGCGCGCCCGTTCATGTCAAATTATAAAATCCGAAAAAATTTAAATCTAATTTCGCCACAGCGACCCAGCTTCATATTCAAATACCTAATGGATTTTACTTTGTCCTGACAAGTACAAGCCCATTTAATCAATAATTAACGTAATCCATCAAGTACAAAGTGTCAAATGCACTCGCGAACGGAACGGCGGGCCCATCAGGCCTAAAAGGATTTCCCCGAAAAGCGCATCGAGTTGACAAAAAATCAAGTTGTCGCAAAGATACACGAAACAAATCCGCGCCCGTCACATCTGCATGTCGAAAAACCAGCAGACCCATTCAGATAGAACCCGAGTGAAAAGCAACCCCTAACTTTAACCCCTGCTCGCCGTCTGTCATTGTCGAGATACCGGGGGGAAAGACACGGCATAAAGCAGCAGCAGGAGCAGCTTATCTAAGCCGAAAAGTCGACCCTGATCAACCACTTGCAGCGCCGGCCCAAAAGACCAGATAGCCCTTGTTCTACTCCAAATGGGTATCAAACTACAAATGTCCATTTTTCAATTTACCTGGCCCTTACGCACTCCACTCCGAACCACTCCCCCGCCGTAAATTGAATCTGAAATGGTATAATATATGGACAGGGTCTGGGGACGGGAAGTGGACAAACAAACGGACAAACACCCACCGAATCGCCCTATAAATTAGCCAGCGACCGTTGACCAGTTGGTTTGGCTGGCGGGCAAAAGACCGTGAAATTTTCCCAATATGCTGCGTTTTATTTGCGTTTCCCTCCACTCATCCTCATTTCTCTCGTTTGACATTGCACTGGCCCATATAGCATACCCCATATCCCATATACCATACACCATACACCACATCCCATATGAACTGGGGACTGGGACTGGGAATAATGCTCGCATTTAAATGGACAGTCTGACGTATGAATAAATTATGTTCTGCCCCTCGAGCCCGCACGATCGATTCTTCGGCTAGTTAACATAATTCTAAAGACAAAGGCTACGCTCTACATTTTATCCACGACCAGAAGACAGGGGACAGTTGACATCTCTCCGCTTCGGTGGTGGAAATTTATATGCCGCAATTTGTCAATTGTTGCAATTTCTCTTTGTGAGCTGCATCTATTTATTTTGTTTGTTTCACAAGGAATAGCCCCTCATAAATAATTGAAATGTGTGTTTTATATATTGTGAGTAAACATCAGGTAGAATGCTAAGAATAGAAGTAAGCCTTCAAAATATGTCATACTAAAATTGCTTCCAAGAAGATTAATGAACTTACCTTGAAAAATGTTTGTATTAACGTTTGGTTAAATAAAATATCTAAATAGATCTTTTGTGTCATTATTATCAAAAAATTTATAAAGGAAAGGACTTTCTCTGGCTATTTCTATGTTTTAGTTGATTTGTTTTAAGATGGAATTTTTAACTACTTTTAGTTGTTATTATGGTAACCAAACTAAAAAATATCTTATTAATCTGATATTATAATAACTCATATAAAGGCCAAGTTCAAAATGACCTATGGTTTTAAAGAGCTTAAACACCCTCATGTATTTTTATTAATATATCTTTCTTTTGCAGTAAAAGGACGGCATATTACCCACTCAGTCATCAACAAATCGTGTTATACGGAATCCTAATTGAAAAATCCTTAATTCCCTGAAATGGTCTGCTTTATAGGGACGCTACCCGATCCTCTCAACCATCGAAAAGTTATTGTAACCCGATCCCGAGTCGCTGGATGTACATAAGTAAATGAGCTTTAAAATAATTTAGCTATCTCTTAAGCACATGTGTTTGTTTTCCACTCCCAGATACCAGTTTCCGCCGATGCGGCCCATGTTTATACGAGTGTGGACTCGGAGATGTCCGGCCTGACGTTTATGAAAAGCCATCGCAGCATCAAAGCCAATTAAGATACCAGCCACATACAAGCTCTAAAGGAATACGCGGCTAATTTCTGCGACAAAGCCGACAAACGATCGAGCCCAGTGTCCAGTGTCCAGTGTCCAGAGGCCAGTATCCGAAGGCAAGAAGCGGCACTTTTGTCGCAAACACAGGCCGTAAAATTAAGAACTCTGATTGGTAACAAATGTTTTTGTTCATTCGAGTGATAAAAACGTAGCGAACCGAAAAGATATAAAGTTCTCTTTAGTGTCTTGCCAGCGCGGCGATGATAAAATATTTAAATGAGCGCCGAAATGGGAAGGTTCTCGGCTTGGTTTTTGGATCGGATCGGTTAGGATCGAATCGAAATGGACATATGGGATCAGAGGGGGGAGAGATGGACCCAAAACCTTAATGGCCGCGCACACGAATCTCCGCAACAAGCCGAAACAGTGGGCTTAAACAAGCCCAGGCCAAAAGTGTGAAACACCGAGCGGCGTAACGCCAATAGCATTCGTCGATAACCACTGTGTCGCCGAGTAAGTCGGTCGGCTGTCATGATTAAACAAAAGTCGAATGCCAGCTAGGATATTAAATTACGGCCATAACAGGGACAGAGGTAAGGACCCATTCGAGGGCTTGCCTGGCCGGTTTGGAAGTCTCTTTGGGACTGGCCGACGACCAAGCCCAAAAGTCTTGGAACAGAAACGAAACGGCCACGACAAAATCATAAAAGGCATAAACAGTTGTAAAGACCCAAACCACAAAGGGCGTAGAATCAAAATTGAGCACTAAAACGTTATCGAGGTCGGCACAGATTAACTAGCCTTTTTGCTGTTGACTCGACGATGGACGAGGGACATTGGACACTGGTCAACGGACAGCGGACAGCGGATACGACATCCAGATCCAGGCAGGTAGTTCATTCTGAAATATCGAATGCATCTTAAAGATACTTGTGCGACATTACGATCATTACTCTGTGTAACAGATACGCTGCGATGGAAGGAGGTGGTCCTGGGCAGTGGCTACAGACAGGTCGACCTGTCGTGTAATCCCGACCTGCCCGGCAATTATAACCATATATAGCCCCCGCTGGCGACGGTGCCGCGTTGACGACCCACAGCCGAGCTATTGTCCAAAAATTGTCATTCACAACTGTCTCGCCGATAAGAAGCAATTATCAGGGGCAAAAGGACTGCGAGGAGAAATCTCATTGAATGGCGCCAGTTTCACAATGAATCTTCACGGAAAGGACAACTCTTACGTTAAGATTTCGTCATGGGTTTTAAAATGTAGGTTACATAAAAATATTTAGGGGTTATGTTATAGAGAGCGACAATGGCTACCATCAGAGATCTTACAACGTGGGAATGAGATAAGGACATCAGTACCTTTACTTTATAAGTATAATGGCATTCCTGAATTAATATAATTTCCAATAATTTATTAAGTTGAATAATTAATTTACTTAAGTTGATGTTAATGTAAAATGAGTATCCCAAAAGTATGCAAGTTTTCTTTCTGAGCTCCTAACTAGTATAATATCGTTCTTAAGGTGTAAGGTGTTAGTTAGCAAAGATCATTATTTAATTGACTACTGAGTAACATACGAAATGTAATAAAAGTAGGTAGGTCGTTTCCACCCCAATTTTATTTTGTGGTGCATCACCATTGATTGTGGGGAGTGTCCAAGACGCACTCTTCCTAATGGCAGCCCTTCAAGGAACATAATTTACTCCACGTGTCGGGGATTACATATTAACTACGCCACTGTTCTCATTTGGGGGGCGTGTCGCTACAAACGTCTGCTGTTAATCTTTAGCTTCCTGGATTGACATTTATATAGCCATTTAAGGAAGTGTGTACGCACGTTTGTATATTACAATTTTGTTGTAGCTCTTTTTGTTTGACCGAAATAGGTATTAAATTTCACAGAGGGATGACTCTTAAATTTAATTTACATATGGGAAAGAGTTTGGAACCCTTTCAGCTAATTTACAAATAAACCATTTCCATATTATTTTATTTTATTAGTAATAATGAGGTTAATAATAGGCGAAATACAACATTTATTGAACGGATGATTAGAAATAAATGCTCATAGTCATAAAATGACCCGATCTACAGCTCTTCAAAACTACAAATATGTACTGCTTTTTAAATTATAATGTATACTAGCCTTTCCGATTTGATTTTCTATAATAGTTTGTTTTAAAATTTATATGATTCAAAATCTTCATAAAATATTTGAAATATACATTGCTGATGATTGCTTATCCAAAATATTTCGAAGGGAACTGTATTAAACCTTCTGCTCTGGCTGGTCACAATACAAATTTGCAATCCCTGGGTCCGACTCCCTTTTCATATTCAAATTCAATTCGGCGCCGGCGCCACCTGCCATCCCGTCGCTGTACTTTTGCACGATCCACTGCCGTCGTGTAGTTGTTACCCCTCATCTGGTTTGGGGTCCTCCCGGTACTCCCGATCCTCGCCAGAGCTACCCAGAAACTGCGAATAAAGGCGATCGCCAACGAAGCCACTGCGGTGTGGCCAGGGTTGCAGGACTGCAAGAACATTGTTCTCGTTAAACAGAATCATGTACTTGGACCTTGGAGGTCGGTCGTGGGCAAAATGTACGATCCGATTGCGCATGCGGGCCACACAGGAATCCCCCGACCAGATAATAAAGACAAGCTGCACCGAGACCAGTTCATTGAGGATCGTATCGGATGGGATTGGGAACGGGATCGGTGCCCGGTTTCTAATGACATCTATGCAGTCTAGTCTCCCCGTTATCTCGTCCTGCAGATTCGGGGAGACGGTCCCGTAACCGCAACGACCCCGATCGCCGCAGGAGGACTGTGCGATCGTCTAGCAATGGAGAACCGAAGAGAACTCAGGGGCGGAGGCCCAGATATGGAGGAGTGGCTAATGCGCCGACACCCCGCTGCGAGGTGAGCACACTGCCGCCTATAATTGAGTTATACTGGCCAACTGACCCCTCGAAATGGGTTCCCGGGTCCCTATCTTCCTGCTTTGGCAAAAGGTTCGCAGCAGCTAAGCGGACAATGTTTTGACATAAATAAATGCTTGAATGACTTTAAGTGATGGCAGTTTACTCTGACTTTCTATACCCGAACTCAGTTTGGCATGATTTATGGGGCACGATCCGGGGACTGCTCAAGACATTACTTTCGTATATACCATACAGATATGCTGGCAGGGGTGGTCGGGATGGTTCCGATGCTAATTCGTATTCAGGTAGTAAGCGGAAAACAATAAATATATTCGCAGCCGTCCTTTATCGACCAAGCTTGGGTTGCGGTATTATGACTTATAACAATGCACAATAAGTGGATCAAATTTATTGTGGATATTAAGGTGATTGAGCATTGTTCTTTTACAAATTAGTTGTCTTTTTAACATTCAAGCTTTATCTCTGTGCTTTTGAATTGAGTTACTTTTCAAACTGAAGGGCCTGACATCCTTTCTGATGAAGATAAACTTTAATTTCGAACCTAAAACTGACAAATTTTATAATGCATTTACATTTTTTAAAATTTAAATTGCAAGCTGTCATCTTTGGTCTTAGGAAATCAATCTGAAATTAAAAAATTTAAACGATAGACTTTCAGTCATGATTTTAAAAAATTATTCTTAAAGTGTTTTACAGCTTTTCAAATGGTTATATTTTGCTATGGAGACTCTTTTATTTTGTTTAGGGGTTACTTAAGCAATTTATCATTTAAGACACATATTAAAGGAGATTATATTATCTTTGCTATGCACAAAGTACCAAAGTGTACAAAAGCATTTCAACATTTAATACGGATCAACCTGGAGTGCCCTTCTGAACAAAATTGAAATGTTTATTTTTTTAATTATTTGAATTATAGTTAATTAAGTACACAAACTGGTTCCCGACAAACACATGTTGTACAAAAACAGCTGCTAGATAGAAATATGTAACCGGCAATATTTTAGGTATTTGTAAGTATGCTTTAAAGAATGCATTGAATAAATCGTGGCATACTTTCGGGCTGAAACGAATTTTATGAGTCGGCGGTTGCGTATGCGTGATCGGCTTTTTTAAGTGAATCTTAACAAACCAATAGGGAAACAATTATATCTATGTATATTTTAAGCACTAGGTGATCTTGTTCTCTTTATATAAAGTACGTTTAAGATTACTTTTAAAGATCACTAAAAACTTATGTAATATTTTGAATTTTTGGAACGTTAGTAGGTTCTTTTGAGATATTTAAGTTAACGTTCTATTTTAAAAACCTTTTTCAAAACGTTTTTAAAACCGTTATAATAACCTATTGGGGCCCCCACTCTAAGACCATTTTAAACGAAATTGTTATTTATTTTTTTTGCATTCTTCTTAATCTTTAGAATTATATATAGCATTTTTAAAAAAAAATAAATCCTTTATTAAGTTATGCAACCGTGTTTAATATAAAATTTTTATTTAATTTTAAGCACAAGGTGATCATGTTCTCTTTATATAAAGTACGTTTAAGATAACTTTTAAAGATCACTAAAAACTGTAACTGTAAAAAATGTAATATTTTGAATTTTTGGAACGTTAGTAGGTTCTTTTGAGAACTTTAATAAAATCTATTTTAAAAACCTTTTCAAAACGTTTTTAAAAATGTTATAATAGCCTATTTAGGCCCACACTATAATAAAATTTTAAACGAAAATATTTTTTTAATTTTTTGCATTCTTCTTAATCTTTAGAATTATTTATAGCATAGAAATCCTTTATTAAATTATCCAACCGTTTTCAATGAATAAACATAATTCTCTTTTTTGTATTTGCTTAAATCATCACACGAAATATGTTTGATTCAAATTCAAATAACTTTTGGCTCTTTAATAAGATATCTTTTGTGTATTACTTATTTTATGGAATTTTTAAACTTATTCGTATCAGTTCATAAAAAAAACATAATGCGACTTAAGCCCACTGCGTACCCCTTACAGACCACTTTACAATTTAGACCAAAAATTTACTTTGTTTTTTTAAATTAGATTAGATTTTGGGTAGCCGAAAAAAATAGTTTTATGACAGCCTTTCGAAAACAAAAAATCGTTTGAAAGTATATTTTTGACTCTACGGTTCAAAAATTGATTTCATTTGATCTATTAATCGAATACTTTAAAGTTTCAGGAGGTATTTAGCTTAACAAAAGTTAAATTCAAGAAAAGCGCATTTAATCTTTTTTTTTTTGCAGTACTGCGCGACCGGAGAATGGTCAAAACAATTTTTCTTGTAAGCATTCCTTATAATTTTCAATCATTTTATCTCCTTTAATCGACGGAACTTATATATGTTTATCATGTCTGCTTACATTGCTTTATTGGTTCTCGGTCTAGATGACTCAATCAATTGCCATAAGCATTTTGTAAGTTGAATCTAAAAAAATATTCTAAAAAATTGAAATATATTTATAAAGTTGAACAAAGTTTGAGCTACCTCTGGTCATAATGTTACTTTTTTGAAATTGACAGAATATCAAAACCTAATCTGGCCAAACTGGCGGACTACATGCGCATTCTTTATTTACATCAATTTAATAAATATATATATACAAACAATTATCCCTTTGCTTTAATTTGGCATATTCTGTTAATAGCTACATTCTTTAATTGACTTGATAAATATTAAATTACACATCAATGCCTACTTATATATTTATTGCAAAAAGGGTTATTAATTACATTCTGGTTTTTTTGTTGAAGTTCAATTATATTATTTTCTCTAAACTTTTTTCAGTAACATTGCAATTTTAAAATACTTTGTGTGTTTATATTTATACATTGTGCTTTAAGGTGATAAGCCGATAGGAAAGCACCAATCAAAATCTGACTCAAGTTTAAGCAACAAGACAATATATTAAATGAAAAAATTTCCCAAGAAGGCATGGCAATAAATACTGAATTAATTTGATTTAATATATATCCATACTTTAGGTCATATAAATGGGCTTAATAATTAAATTTTTCTTGAATTATTATTCTTCTTTCTCTTTCAGAATACACAAGTGCCCAAGTATAAACAAAATGAAATAAATATATAAATAATAAATGATGATAAGAAAATGTATCATATTGATTAAGAGAACTCTTTTATTTATATTTAACAATTTTACTTTGGATTAAGTACTTAGATGTACTTATAATTAATATAACTAATAAAATTCAACATTTTTTTTTTTTTTTTTTTTTCAAATAAAAGCAATTATAAATGAAAAGAAACGAAAATTTTCCATCTTTATTTAAATTTTACTTCGGATTAAGTACTTAGATGTTTTTATAATGAATATAACTAGTCAAAATTGTATTTGCTTTAAATATAAGTTTTTCTTAGATTTGTAAGTAAATAAAAATCAACATT